CCCCCCCCCGCCTCACTTCCCATCCGCCACCTCCACCGCCATCCATCCGAGGTCTCCTCCGCGCTTTGCCCTATCGCCACTCTTCACCTCGTCATTGGGTGCCGCCTGTCGCCGCCGCCCTGCTCCCCCTCCAGTGCCAGCCCGTCCGTCCCCAAGCCAAGCAGCCATGACTCGCAAGGCATTCCACGGCATCATCGCCATGCCGGAGCTGGAGTCCGTCGAGAAGCTCATCTCCGGCGGCCAGTCCGATGTGTATCTGGTGGAAATCGAGGGCAAGGAGTACATCCTGAAAAAGTACAAGGGCAACTTCGATCCGAAGATCCTGCGCGAGATTACGGCCTTCCACCTGCACTCGGGAGACGCCACCGAGTATATCGTGCCGCTGCATGGGATTTACTACTTCAAATCGCAGCTCAGCCTGGTTTTCGAGCACATGCGCGGCGGGGACCTCTTTGACTATATCGGCGAGCGCCAGCGCCGCCGGGCGCCCTTCACCCCGAGCGAAGTCCGGGTTTTTGCCCACCGCATGCTGACGGCCATCCGGATTTTCCACGACTACCAGCTCATCCACCGGGACATCAAGCCGGAAAACATCCTCCTCGAGCGCCCGGACGACCTGTCCTCCGTGCGCATTGCCGACTTCGGCCTGTGCACGCTGCTGTCGCACAACACCCGGCTCACGCCGAGCGTCGGCACCGCGCAGTTCCGCCCGCCGGAGATGCTCACCGTCAACTACGATGCCAAGGTGGACATCTACAGCATCGGCATCATCATCCTGACCATGCTCAACAACGTGTATGTGGTCAATGAGAACCTCCAGCAGCAGCTGGCCCGGCTGGGGGATGGCCCCGATGCGCAGATGGTCCGTGCGGCGCTCGACATCAATCCTCGCAAGCGCTTCACCGCGGCCCAGCTCCTGGAGATGGACTACTTCAAGGACGAGGAGGCCCAGGCGCGGTCGAAGTCCATCTAAGTGCGTAGGATGGTGCATTGGCTTGCGCTCATCGCTGCACGGCCCCCTGCGGGCCGGATCCTCGGCCAGTGCCAGTGCCCGGCTCCCCAAGCTACCGTGTGCGTGCGTGCGTGCGTGCGTGTGTATAGCCCCTCTGAGGGGCATAGCCACGAAGCAAAAGCCCCCCACCCCCCCTTTCCGCCGGCCTCGCGCCATTGAGGAGGGGGACAAATGCAAATGCAACAATTTAGTTGTGTTTATGTAGGTTGGTTCTGAGGAGAGACAAGGACATGCTGGGGGCCATGGGAGAGGGGGGGGGGAGAGGGAAATGTGGTATGTCGGCGCTCGGCTACGATGACGAGGCGCCCAAAAGAAAGGGAATTCCCCATCGCCTCGTGTGCCGGTGAGGGGGAGAGCGAAGGAAATAGCGAGGAAGATAGTAAGGAGGGGGGGGGGGAACACAGGTATGGGTTCACTGGAAGTCGCAGTCAAAGCCCCAGATCTCGATGTCGAGGATGTCGAAAGACCCTCGCGAGGCCAGGGTGTCCTGGTTGCCGAAGGTGTCGCAGGGGCCGGAGAAGCCGCGCGACAGGGACGCGTCAATCCAGATGGCCGCCCCGGAGGCGGAGCTATTGCTGCGGGGCGTGCACCAGCCCCACGCAAAGTGACAGGAGAGAGGGTGGCCGAGTGGAGAGCCGGGTGAGTAAAAATGCATGCAGGGCGGCGCAGCGGGCCACCAGCTGACAAAGAAGGGCACATGGGGTGTGTGCGTACCCGCCGCCGAAGGAAATGCTCGAGAGGTTCATCGAGGCAAAGAAGTGGTTCTCCTGGGTCCACGGGAAGATCTTCACCTGGGAGGACTGCGGGCATTTGGGGGAGCTGCTGTCGTAGATGGACGCCGGGGAGGTGTTGGTGGAGGTGCACGCATGGAGGGTGGTCTTGGAGTTGGCCGGCGCCAGGGTGCCGGCACTGAAGACAAACGACTCGCCGGTGCCGGTGTAGTGGGGACAGAGGCGCACACCGCCAGAGGCAAAGCAGCCGAAAACCTAGCGCGAGGAGGAGCCCAGACAGAGGGGGCGGAGGGGGGGGGGGGGGGGGGGGGGCGTGTGAAAGTTAGAACACAGGAGCGAGAGAGGGCAGGAGAGCGAGAGAGAGAGAGAGAGAGAGAGAGAGCGAGAACGAGAGAGAGCAAGAAAGAGGAAGGGGCACAAGTGGGCGATAGCTGGGAGATGCCCCCCCCCCCCCCCAGCAAGGGGCAACACATGACACGTACCGCTCCACGGTCGTCCCGCACGACAAAGAGCACCGGATATGAGGAGGAAGTGGGCATGCTGCTGGTGGAGCTCTGGAAGCCCCCGAGGCCAACATGGGCGATGGCATTGAGCGAGGCCATGGAGTGACGCTGGCCGATGAGCTCCGGCTTGTAGGACACGCCAAGCTCCTGGGCCACATTGTACTCCTGGCAGCGTGACCGAAGGGTCTGGTAGGAGGTCCCATCACGACTGGTGGAGTACACCAGACGCCAGTTCTTCAAACCAATGGCCGGCGGGAGAGCCGAGGCCACCGCCCGACGAACACTGTCGGTTGGCAGGAGACGCGAGTACGGAGTCGGCGGCAGGAGGATGGGAGTGCTGGAGTAGGGGCCGCGTGGGGGGGGGGGGGGAGAGGGGGATCGAGCGAGAGAATGAAGGTTAGCCAGGGAGGCGCGCGTCCGGGAGGAGCGAGGCGAGGCAGGGCAAATCCCCCAGGGGATCTCCGCAACACCATCCATGTCAGCAGACACCCCATACGCACTAGATGTCATCGCCCAGGAAGAGGCCGGCACCGGACTCGGGGGCCGAGGTCGACAGGACCGAATGCTCGGAGGACTCGAGCAGCGGTGACCGGGAGAGGCCGAAGCGGCCGGCGCCATTGGCCCCGCCAGCGGCGCCGGGCGACATGGGGATGGCGGTCCCGGTCGAGGCGGCGAGGGTTTGCGCGCGCTGGCGCCCGAAAGAGGTCCCAAGCACCGACGGGTCGTGCTGCTGGCCGCCAGCCGGGGAGGAGACCGCCGACGGCGAGAGCGGGCTCCGGGGGGACTGCTCCGAGGAGGGGCCGGTGTTGCCGTTGCCGCCGCCAGCACCGGCGGAGGGATTGAAGAAAAGCCCATTGCCGGAGGAGATGGTGCGCAAGCCGCGGATGACACCGCCCAGGAGGGATGCCGGCGGGCCGCCGGCCGTGGAGGACGGCTGCTGATCGGCCACCGTGGCCGCCTGCAAGTCCCCCACATCGCTGAGGTCATCCCAATTGGCATGGGAGTGGCCGCCGCGCGGGTGGTGGTGATGCTCCGGGTCCGAGAGGGTGGCCGCATCGGCGGCGGCCGGGTCGGCGAGCTCCGGGCCGCCGGCACCGCCACCGGCCCCGGCACCGCCAGCCAGGGAAAAGGCCCGGGGCCGGGTCAACGACGAGGAAATGGCCGCGCCAAGGGACCCGACCACGGACCGGGCAGCGGCCGCGCTGGCCGCGGCCCCGGCCGCCACCAGCCCGGCCCCGGGGATGGAGAAGACGCTCAGGCTGGTCGGGCTGCCGGGGGGCATCGGGGCATTCAGGGCAAAGCCGTCACTGAGGATGGTGCGCTCCACCAGCGGGTCGTAGATGGACCGAAGCCGGGAGAGGGGCACGAGGAACTCCATATGGACCTCCAGCGAGGCGGACGACCCGGAGGTGCCGGAGTGATTGCCGACGAAGGTGAACGCACGCCAGGGCCAGGGCTGACCGGCGTCCGGGAGCATGGCCCCCCCGGTGGCGGAGCCGGCCCCGGAAGCCGCGGTGCCATTGCCGCTGCCGGCACCGGCGCCGCCGCCATTGCCGCCGGCCGACAGGGAGGGCGATCCGAGCGACGTCCGGGGGGAAAAGGCCACGGCCGAGGCTCCGGCCGCCGCGCCGTCCGCCGGCAGGGCGAAGGAACTACGCCCGGGGAGGGCCCCGGCGCTGCCGAAGGAAAACCGCGCAGGGAGCACCCCGCGAGGCGACCGGGCCGAAGACACCTCCCCGCCGCCGGCAGCCATGAGGGCCAAGTCGATGGTGGAGAGAACCGCCTCCACATGGATGACCACCGTCATGTTGGGATTGGAGGAGGTGCCCGCCGTGGGCGACCCGGGGCCGGCATCGTCCACAGGGGAGATGGGGCCCCCCCCGGAGGGGCCGATGGCCAGGGAGAGGTCCAATTGCGAGGGATCGCGCGAGGGAGGCACCGAGGAGGCGCCCCCATCGGCCGGGGCAATGCCAATCACCCCGGAGGAAGGGGTCAGCATGGGAGGCGACGGGGTGGCCGGGGGGGAGGAGGAGGAGGAGGAGGAGGAGGAGGAGAAACTGTGGCCGCCGCCGGTGGTGCCGCCGGCCTCGGCACCGGCCGAGTCGGGGCTGCCCTCCTGGCTGGCGGCAGACCGGTCGCCATCCGCGGCGGCCGAGGCCGGGATGGCCGCCGGGGCACTTGGCCGGGGGGAGGCCATCGGCGACCCGGCCAGGCTCTCGGTGAAGGTGCGCGCCAGGACGGCATTGCGCTTGGCATCGGCCGTGGCCCGGAAGGTGGCCGTGAACCGGTCGCCGGACACATTGTTCATGATGCGGCAGTGGGTCACCGCATGCAGGGGGATGCTGATGAAGTCCGTCATGGACACGGCGAAGGAGGACCGCCGGGACCCGGGCCCGGCCATGCTGTCGGCCGGAGGCAGGGCCCCGACATAGGCGTCGAAGCGCAGGCGATCGTCATTCAGCGACAGGATCCCGGCCAGGGGGCCGGAATTCGTGCGCAGGGCCACGCGCTCGGAAAAGACCTCCGGCAGACACCCATCCACCATGACCAGGTCATCATCCTCCGGGGGGAGGTGGCGGCCCAGGGGCGCGGGGGCCGTGTCGGCGGCCTCCGGAATGGGCTGCAGGTCGGCGCCCCCCCCGATGCCCAGGCCCGTGGGCTGCTGCGAGCCGGCGGGCTGGTGCTTTTTTAGTTGGTCCGTCAGGGAGCTCCGCTCGCGGCCGGCGGCCGGGGCGGCCGCATCGCCGGAGCCGGAGCCCGAGGCCGAGCGCGAGCGCGAGGGGGACGCCCCGCCGGCCGACCCCGCCGGGCAATTGGGGTCCCGCACATAGAGGATCTTCCCGGGCGGGGGGTCGAAGTTGGAAATGAGCTTGTTGACCTCCTTCAGCTCGGAGCGGCTCATGCCATACCGCAAGGCCAGGCCGGACAGGGTATCCGAGCTGGTCATGGTGACGGCGATCATGCCCGAGGGGCAGGGCCCGGCGAGCATGGGGGACGCCCCGCCGGAGGCATTGGCAGCACTGGCGGGGCCGGACTTGGCGCCGCCGGTCGGGGCGCCGGCCGGCGAGGTGGCCGGGGCCGCGGTCGGCGTGACGACCGGCGAGGCAACCGGCGTGCCGGTCGGGACTCGGATCGCGGTGGCATCCGGGCCGGCGTGCCGGCCGGCACGGCCGATGCCGCTAATCAGCGGTGCATTGAAGCCCTTGGTTTTGAGGAAGGTCGGGGCCGTGCGATCGCTGCCGGAGACACCGGCCAGGAAGCCGCCACCGGCTCCGGAGCCCAGGGGCCGGCCAAAGTGCAGGCCCCTGTTGAGGGTCTTCGGTGCGGGGAGTGACGACTGTGGCGGCGAGAGGGACGTTTCCTCGGAGGCCAGGTCGACCGACTCGTCGGGGAAGAGCCCTGCCGGGGCGGGAGCCAGGGCTGGATTCGTGGCCGGAGCCGGGGCCGGGGCCGGGGCCGGGGCCGGGGCCGGGGCCGGGGCCGGGGCCGGGGCCGGCCGGCCAACCGACGCGGAAGACATCACCGGAATCTGGACCGGGCCGGCAAGGAGGCCCACACCAAGGGGAGGGGGGAGGGGCCGCTTGTCAGCGAGGGGCGGCCCGGAGGGGGCGTGCGGGCGGGCGGACGGGCGAGCGGGGGCTGGGGATGTGGGGTGGGTGGACAAGGCGCACCGGGGGGGGACTGGTCACAGGGGGCCCAGCTGCCAGGGAGGAGGGAGGCGAGGAGGACAGATCGGTGGAGTCGGAGCTGTCGTCGGTGGCGGCCTCCCGAGACGGGCGGGCAGGCGGGTCGGCGGCGGCGGCGGCGGCGGCGGTGTCGTCGGGGGGCACGCCCGGCATGATACAACGCGCGCGCGCGCGCAAGCCGTGTCAAGGGGCGGGGCGGGACAGCGGGAACGAGGCGACTGGAGGGTGGTAGGGAGGGGAGGTGGGCGGGTGGGTGGGGTCTGCGGCGCGGGCTGTCGCGAGGGCCGGAGAGGGCGCGGGGGGGGGGGCGGGGGGGAGCGGAGGGGGTGGGTGGGAGAGGGAGAGGGAGAGAGAGATGCGGGGTACAGCACGCGCGTGCGCGCGCTAGAAAAGGGAAGCAGGGAAAGAGAGGGGGACCTTCTGCCGCACCCGGGGGCGGCCCCGGAGTGCCGCACGGTGGGGGCTGATAATTGGGTGAAAAAGCGCGTGGTGGCAACTTCCGGCGGGGGGGCGAGTGGGGGCGAGCGGCCTGCCGACGCGGTGTCGGCGCCTTGCTTCGTTCGCCGGGCGCCCGCCGTCGGCACACGGGCCCTTGGGCGCACTCGACAC